ACCACAATGGTGTCTGTAATTAAAATATTTTTCTCAAAAAAATTTTCCGTTGGAACATCCCAAGTGTTGCAAGCCAGTAAACTAAGCAGTATTACCATTTAATTAATTGTATTTAGAGTGATGTAGGTAATTTCTTAGCTCCTTTCCAACACCCTTGAATTTGATCATGTTAACTGACTCCAAACTTCCCAATTAGTACCATATTCTTTCAATATGACTGCCCACAGGCTTTATTAGAACCAACTGTCAAGAGTCACAGAAAATAATCTAGGAAAAGAAAAATATTGATTACTCTGTAAATCATGGTGTCTGCATTTATATCTTGTCATAATTTCACTCTGTGTGAAAAAGGCAGACTTGGTTAGTCCTGAAAGGGAGTCAGGATTTTGTCAGGATTTCTTGCAGGTGTGTCCATGCAGGTTTAGTCATTCCCAGGTAATTCTGGTGAGCATCCTCCAGCTCCACTCCAAGCCAGGGTGTGCTCCTGCTGTCAGTCATAGGCCATTGAACCTGTTGCTCATGATCAAGTGCTTGGGACATATCAGAAACCTGCCCTTCAAAGGTCCTTCCAGGACTCAAACGCACTGGGGGACATTGACATTTCACTTGGTATTTAGGCATAAGAGAATTTCCTGACCAGGAGCGATGTTTGGTTAGCTGTTTTCCTTAAGCCTGCAGAGGATAAGCCTAAGTGTATAATTAATTTTCCTTATACGTTTCTTTCCTTCACTGATTAATTGCTTCAACTGATCTATTTGGAGTACAACATTAATATTGAAAATAGAATTATGAAGCCAGCAAAAGAAAAATATTTTATCTTCTCCTGGCAACACAAGCATATACTTGTGTCCAGCACAGCCATAGATGAGAAGTGAAGTTGAATTGGCATGAAATGTCTGAGATGTGACATATTTATAATATTAAGTAAAATTTATATATTAAGTGCAAAAAAAGAATTTTTTTTACAAATTACTGATATTTAATGAGAAGCACAGAACTAAAAATAAAGGAGAACATGGAGCCGACAATGGATAGAGCATAATAATTTTTAAGATTTCTTTTTCTGGTTTTATTGCCATTTAAACCTTTCTCCATTTAGCTTGTTAGCTTTCAGTAACATGTGTTATGTTACTGAATTGCCCAGAAGAAAAATAAAGGGAAAAAAATATTAGATTTACAGAATTCAGAGACTGAAAGTTTGACTTGTCACACATTGCTTATCCCAAAACCTCTGCTTCTGGAAATCTTGGGATTCAAAGTAGTTTTATGGTATGCAATGACAAACTAATCTTTTCAAGTGTTTCTGAATTTTATCTTTTTTTTTTTTTTAAAAGGATTTGAAGAATCATTCATTCACTGTTAAGGTAGTCTCATACAAACCTTGACATTTGGTTATTTAGCTGCTCTTTTCTAATAAGACAAAGAAAATGGAAAGAACCTTTAAAAATGTGATTTTATAATTCCTCAGAGACAAGTTGTTTTCCATAACCTTTGCAAACATTTTGTTTTGACAATGAAAAGAGGGAATAATGTGAATTCCTGTTCTGTTGAAAGCCTTTAAAAACTTTTCTCTCGTCTTAATAAGGCCAGCAAGTTGTCCTTAATGCTGAAGAAAGAGAAGTAGGCAAGTGAAATCATCACCCCTACCTCTTAAAGAGATCCCAAGAGTTTACTTCCCTATGTACTTCACAAAGTGTTCTGATGTAGATAGAATGGGATGTCTGTGTGCAGGAACTGGTTTTAATCTTTATTGAGAATGAAAATTTTAGCACAGTGAAACATGAGTTTGTATTGTGAAACATAAGCAACTGCAAATCCACCATTTCTTGAGGAATGCTGTCCTGGGGTGGACTGTGGACAGCAGAAGAAAAGGCCTGTTAGGGCAGGAGAGGGAATCATCCTAAAGGATATGGAATATTCCTTAATGGTCCTTAATAATCCCTATGGTCTGGACCCAGAGATGTGTATTAAGAGCATCCCAGCTGTGGCTCTTCATGTTTATGTCTTAAAAGGGCTCAGCGAAATGTGTAACTAGGATTAATTCATGCTTTGAATTTTATGACCTTCTGTGCCCAGATGCTCCAAATGAAGATCCTGCTTCATTCAGGAATTTATTTTCTCTCTGCAAACAATTAATGACATCTCATTGCAGTTATTGAAAACTTACCTTTCCTTCTTGGTTGGCTTTGTCCAAGTCACATTTTGTTCACTAGCAAAGCAGAATGAATACACTTAGGATGTACTTGCAATCAAAAAAAAAATTAAAATATAAATAAAATATTGGTGTATATTTTCACTTGAAATTATCTGAAGAAGGCATTAGTGTTTGGCAAAAGCTCAGAAAAATGTAAAAGCCTCATTTAGGAAAATTTGCTCTAATACTTGCTCAGCTCTAACCTGAATTCTCTTTTGTTTTTTTATTTTGTAGTGGAGGCTCGACAAGAATAAGAGTCCCAGATACCCAGAATGCCATCTAGGAGTCTACATCCCAGCTAGCAGCATCGCTTAGAAAAGAAATAGTACAGGGTACCTAAAAAGGCATTGCATAATGGGCTTCTGGGAGTTAGCTCCTTAGACACAGTATCATCATACATGGTGCTAGCTGCAGTTTGTGCACAAGCAGAACTTTGCAGCAAGCTTTAGTTGAAAAACAGGTGAAGAAAATGTAGCAGCGAGTGGTCGGACATCTGTTCCAAAGGAACCCACCCGGAGAGGTCAAGCTTACTTCCATTGAGAATAATGGAAGAACTTTTCTAATGTTTGTCCCAGGTCTATGATTTTACTTCAGAGAAAAGGAACTGAGAAAATGATGAATTATATCCATGTAATCCTCTGGACACCATACCATAAATCCTTAAGTTTCCTAGCTACAGAATTTAAGGAAGAGTGTGTGAGTTATCATCAGCTTAGTACATTGTCTAATGTATTGAATGAAGGGCCTGACAGGTCAGGTGTGTTTATTGTCAGGAAGGACTTAATATAGCTGCAGGGATCAGCTGTTATCTGTTCAAGTGTTGTGTGATCCCTTCATGTCAAAAAAGTTTATTTTTTATTTTATTATCAATTGATTTTTCTCTAACTCAAAATTATCCGATTAGAGGATTTGGCTGAAAAAGCAGGATTTTTTAAGTTATTTATTTGTTTGGTGAAGAAGATTATAACCCCAGGTTTCTGGGAGCTTCATTGGGATTTTGGTGAATTTATGACATAAATTAAAGAGGAATTCATTTTCCACTGATTAACAAAGAATTTCCAACATGCAGCTCAGCCCTGCAATTGTAGAGCAATTGTAGTCCAGTTGAAATCAATATGGATTTAGCATAAGCTGAGGACACAGGTTTGAACTGTACATCATGTAACACTAATTCATTTCCAAACCTATGCAGGGATCAGCAAATTCAACGGTTCTTGAGTAATGTAGAAGGGGTGTTAAATCACAAGGTTACAATTGAATCTGTAGTTGACATTGACTGGAATCAAGGACTTTGGAGTTGGCTTGTCTATTTACAGGGAAAAGCAAAGTTGCATAGCAGAGGATACCACTGGAATAAGAGTGTAATTCTCTGTGCTCCACCTGAACACCAGTGATGAAATATTAAAAGGAGTGAGAGGCAGTTAGACTTTGTACTTCATTCCCTGAGCCTGGACCTTGGTATGAATCAGTAAGGCTGCTGGTGTTGTGTTAAACCAACACTTAAGCCCAGGTTGACCTTGGGCAGTCAGGGATTACTGGAACTCAAAAGTTTTGGGTGGTCCTGCTCCCTAGGTTGGAGCCTTGTTCTCTGAGTAATGTAATTACAGGTTTGTGTTGCACCGGGGAATTTCTCCAGTTCTAGGGTTGTTGGGCTGTTATGCTTTCCTGCTATTCTGCTGTGTGTTACACTTGCATCAAATAACTACAGCTGCAATCATAGCTGTGCTTTATGAAATGTAGAGAAATTACATAATGTAATACCTTTTTATTGGCAGTACAACGCTAGCTGTTAAAATTCAGTCAGACAGCATCCCAGGTGGTTGACTTCACCCTGCCAATTTTGTTGCTTCCTAGTTTGAGCATCTTGAATGCTGTACTGAGGTGATAAACAGCCCACTGTAGGTCTTTACTACTTCAGGATTTAAAGACAACTCCTTTTGCTGTATTTCCTCATGGATGCTAAAGTGTGTTGAGTGAGTGGTTCTGACAGACAGATAAGAGACCACTCTGTGAACCCTAGGAAACACATTCTCAGAAGATGGTGATGCAATTTCTAAAGACCAACACTGTTTTCCTGAGCTCTGACCACAGACTTTTCCAGATGACATGTCAAGATGACAGACAACTTATGGTCTGTCATGCAACTGTTCCAAATACAAATGCATGGTCCCCTTCCCATGGCTCCCAGAATAGGCTTCTCTCCGTCCTGCTCCAGTGGGTTTATATTCTGTGCCACACAGGTGACCCAGGGCTTCCTGATGAGAGGTCAGGAATTCATCATCACCGCAACCCCTGGCAGAAGATTTCAATGAGGCAACTACCCTGAAGTCAGGGTTTTTTTACTGACCTGTTCTTTGGAAAATGTTCTGCAGATACATGAGATAGTGGTGAGCTGTCATGTGGTGACAAGGGGCTCAGCTGCCCAGCGGAATGTGGAGTCCCAGGTCATTTGTTTGCCTGCTGTAGGCTTTTTTCTGAGCTTGTGCAAGGTGAGCCGAGGGTGTGAGGGATGTGCTGGTCCCTGGTGCCAGCCCCTCTTACCTGGAACACAGCCATCAGTTTACCTCCCAGGAGGATGGGATTGACAACATCAGGAGCTCCAGCAGGCTAACATTGAACTGGTGTTTTCTTCAGCAGGTTTTTCATCTGGAGATGTCACCAGACCCTAAGGGTTTGCACAGGCACAGTGGAAATCCAAGTGATGTAATAAGTGATCAGCAACTCTGGTCACACAGAGGAAAGGCAGGGGGCCGGATGGGGTTGGAGATTGTGTTTGGACTGATTGTTCTGGTTTCTTCCTCACTAGGACAAAGAAGTGAATCTGGAGCAGGTGCACAGACGCATGAACAGTTTAATTGATGAAGACATAGCCCACAAGCAGATCTCTCCAGCGTCCATCGAGATCTCAGCGCTGGAGATCGGTGGCATGCAGCCAGCTCAGACCCTGGAGCCGGTGCGCGAGTACCAGAACACGCAACTTTCTGTCACCACCTTTTTACCAGAACAGACAACCCATGGTGCCAGCAGGACACTCACAGCTGCCTCGGGCAGCAACCTGCCGCTGCCCCTGAGCAGCTCAGCCACCATGCCCTCCATACAGTGCAAACACAGGTCACCCAACGGAGGACTATTCCGGCAGAGCCCCGTGAAAACCCCGATCCCAATGTCATTCCAGTCCGTGCCGGGGGGAGTCATTCCAGAAGCAATGGAGCCCTCGCATGGAACATCCATATGATGAAAACAAACAGTACAAACAACCAGCAGAGATTTTTAATACAAAATTTAAAAGAAACAAAAAAAAAAAAAAAAAAAAATGAACTCTTACATTTTTCTTGTATATACTTGTAAATAATGAAAGAATGAAGTGGGGTAAAAGTGTATTTTGAATATTCCCAATTTTCGAAGTAAGTAAAAAACAAAACAAAAAACAAACAAAAATGTATGAATGACTTTGTAAATTTTGTTCTATATGAATAAAAAGGCAAACTACTTGTGGTCGTTCTCAAGTGCCAAAGAAGACCTGTTACTGGGACTGAGGGCCATATTTTTCTTTTTTTTTCCCATGGATTTCAATACTTATTCCCTTACAGGTATGGTTTTTTTAAAAGCAAAAAATTTATCTCTTTCTTGCTAGAAAAATTCACCATGCTCAGATCTCTCCTTTCCCCAGAACCCTGTTTTATTGCCAAGATGACAATTCACTCAGAGAACTTAGCAGCTGGTATTAGCATAGCAGTAAAAAATGCTTTAAAGGTGAATTATAACTCAAATCCAACAAACAATAAACAGAGAACATTTTCCTTCTAACAAGGATTTAAACTTCCACACAGTTTCTAAATTTAAGCACAGGATTATTGGATTGTGTTTTTACATGTCTGCTGTGCTGTGTGGCTCTTTTTATTTAACTTTCTGGTTTTTATTATACATATATATATAATATATATTATATATATTTTGACGTATATATTATATATATAAATGCTTTGATGAACAAGAGGTTTTAGGTTAAGGGGAAAGCTTTTAAGAAAAACTGCTCAGCTCTTTTTTTGTTTCTTGTGTACATGACTGAAAATGGGGAGGAACCAATGGAATGAGGCAAGGAGGAACTGTAAAGGCAGGAGATAATGGCACTGCAGTGACTTTGCCCTCTGGTGCCATCTCTTTCTTTAAGATTTCACTGTCTTTGTTGTATAATGGATGCAATGCTCCCTGTTGAAATCACATCCCTGAATGACAAGACTATAAGCACAGCTCTGCTTTTTTTCCATTGATTTTGCAAAGAGAAATATTTTAATGGCCATGTCTATAATTGTGGTACAAAACCAATTTTTTTTTTGGTCCGTGAAACACAGAGGACAAAGATAGAGCAACACATATAGCTTATTTAATGTCTTGTCATGCAAATATTACTGGTGCAATGTCGTATGACAAGAAAAACCAACCCAAAATCTAAAACATTGTTTCCTTCCCAAACTGAAGTTTAAGTGCCAAACATAATGGATCCCTGTTCCTCCCTCCTACTCTTCATAGGCCATCACTCTCTTTCAAAATTGGGGTAATTTAGTGTCTTCTCAAATTTATTCCTAATTCTAGGTTGTAATTTCCCTTTGTAGCTGGATTACTTCACTGCTATTTGGAAAAGGCTGTAGATCCTGGTGCGGCAAAATCACTGTCTACATTAGGGTGAAAAATTCTGTTTGAACAGAGGTAAAACTGCATTCACATCCCAGGAAAGTCAGCAGGCAATCTGGGCCAGGTTTTTGGGTAAATAAACATTCCATTCACTGCTCCTAATTTGATTTGCACAATTACGCAACACGTATATTTATGGAGTGATTAAAGTCCCCACATTTTTACATTTCTACTTTAAGCAGTAGGGAGGAAAAGTCAAACTGTGACATAAAACCAGCCTTATGGAAGAGTATACTCAGCCTAACACTTTTTAAATGGAAATATTGATGATGGACTTACAGGAGGAGTACTCTTAGAGGGATTAATTTGTCTCTGTTGTCAAGATGGCTCCTCATGAACATGGTACAATTTTGTAGTTTGGCACAAATTGCAGTGTTTGCTGACTGGATTTATGCTATTTGGAGGTTTGGCCCACAAAAACGTTGGATTTTTTTTTTCTTTTTGTTGTCCTAACAAGCCTATGGCCACAGGAAAAAAAAAAAAAATCTTCCATAAATACACTAATTAGTTATGGTAGAATGAGCTACACTAAAAGACTATGTACAGACTGAAATCTGTAAAGATGCTCTGGAGAAAAAGTGCAAGGATTTGCATTGGAAAAATCTCTCATTTTGTGACCAATTTAAGATTTTAGCAGCAGCAGAGGAACGTGCTGCAGAAAAGGTGCGAGGAGGTGCTTGAGTGGCTGCAAGGGTGCGATCTGTTGTGGCACACAAACCTGCTGGAGGTTTCCTGAGCTGCTGCTGTGCTGTTACTCACAAAACATGCTGCTGACTTGCTGCAGCAAAGCCCAGAGCAGAGGCTTGAAACCCTCTTTTACTGAGGCATCTTTGCTTTCACATTAGATCTTTTTCATAATACAGACTAAAACACTGTAATTTGACTGACCTGCATTTGTGATCAATTGTGAATACAATGTATTTTGGGGATTAACTTTAGCATTCTTCATAGTCAGTGTTCTCCTCCTGGCTTACTCTTGCTATGTGCTGTAAAGTCTGGAAATGTGGTCTAACTTATAAGTCATGTTAGAGCTCCTTTATCCTCATGCACAGACTATAACTCACCTGTTTGAATGCTTTGCAGAACTACATCTAAGATGAGCAGGATCTTGAAGAATCAAACCACGCAGCCCTCTTTCAGGAAAGGATGTAAGCATGTGTGAACCCTGTAGAAAGCACCTGCTTTATGCACAGGTGAAGTGCATTGCTGATTGATGGTGAAGTTAAAACACAGGTCTCAAATTAAATATGTGCCTAATTTTAAGCAGGTGAGTGAGCTGGCCAAACTCCCTGGGACTACTCAACTGCTTTAAGTTAACCTTAAGTTTTGAGTGCTTTGCTGCACCAGGGTCTACACTGCAAAACTACGAATCTGCAGTGGATCTCTCACTGTCTAGTAATTATTTGTTTATATAAAAGTTAGCAAGTCATAGCTTTGGCCTGTCAGCCCTGACAGGAAGCTGTTAAATCCTTCATGTGCTAGTGGATTGGTTTTAGACTATTTAAGCAAATCACCAGGTTCTCCTTGAACATAAACAGTGTTTCTTTCCCCATAACTTTCATTTTTCAAAGTAAATGCAGAATGTATGATTTTCATATCCTGTCTCCTGTTTTATATTTGTATCTTCTGTTTGACAGATCAAAGCATTCACTTTCTATATAATATGTATTCACCACACACATGCGCATATATATATATATATATGCACATGTGTGCAATTACTCACAGAAGAAGTGAGAAATATAATTTGCATGTGATGTAAATGAGCATAAGGTGAAAGCTCTCAGAGAGCTGTGCTTATTTACACCACCTGCAGGTTTGACCCTTCACCTTTAATATCTGGCAAGTTGAAATAGAAAAACTGCAGAAGTTGCTAAAAACTTTGAAGACCAAACTGTGCTCTGGTTTTTCAACTGGAACTTCCCTGAGTGTACTTAAGTAGGAAATAACATGTGATCCTAAATATTCCAACTCCTCTGGAATGTTAACATTGCAAAGGTGATTGAACATGAAATGTACCTTCCTTTTATTGTGCTCTTTTGATGATGAGCTTTCACAAAAGTGACATCTGTGGCACAACACTTCTAGCGTGTCTTGTTCTACCATCCCATTAGTTTAGAAATTACTTTCTTACAAAAATGTGACTCAGTTTCTTCTATTTGCTTGCAATCCATGGGCAATCTGCTTTCAATCTGAAGAATGCATTGCTCTTATTTCTTAGTATGTCATGGTTTCCTAATGCAATGGGAAAAAAAAAGAGTAATTGTGCTTTTTAATTTCAGAGTTGAAACTTGATAGAATGTTTTTATGCTGAGTTACAACTACATGTGTGCAATACTTGTCTTGCAAAGTGAAGTTCCCAATATCTGCCTTGCTTTGATAACCATTGCTGCATTGTAGGTGAAGTCTCAGCAAAATAACTCACTTTTTCTCAGTCTGCTGATAGAATAAACCACTTAAACCTGGGTTCTCACCTGTGTAAATCAGCTTCCCTCCAGGGAATGGGTCAAGCATACTGAGTTTCAGCAGGTGAAGGTTTGGCTCTTAATATTGGGCTCAAGAGCACTCCTTTCTACAAACTGGGGTAGCTCTGAAAAGGAAAATGTCTCAAAAATTAACCTGAAAGAGGAACTTGATTACAATTTTGAGCATGTAACATGGATTACAGGTCAAACTTTATGCTGGGATTGCTTAAAGAAAGAAAATTCTTCCTGGAATCTGTTTAAATTTCAGAATAGCTCTCTTCTGAGCTTAAAGCTGTTGGGTTGGTGACAAGTGGAGCACTCAGAGGAAATTATGTTAGTGGGGTGGTACAGAAACCACAGTGTTCAGACCTTGTTATTTTATTTTATTTTGCTTTACTGACTTGAACTTACATTGTGAGCAGCTAAAGAGTGACACAAATCTAAACACAACATATTTGGGGGACCCTGTTGGAAATTTCTCAGAGAAACCATATCCTTTGTCATCATCCTGGGAAAGGCAAGGAGAAAGTCAGAAGAAAACTCTGAAGAAAGACAAAATTAAAGGTAAAAATTGATATGTGGTGAAGGGGGAGGGAGAAAAGGATGGTTACAACTCATGTTTAGTAAAGCTGTATTACTTGTATGAGAAGCCTCAATTCCATCATACAAGCAGTTGCCTCAGCTAATTATTATTTTTCTTAATTTTTAGGAAACAAATAAAAACAGCATTTGTTCTACCAGAAACAGTTGTTATATTATTTAAGAGTTGAAATGATTTGTTTGGCCGTGCCTGTTTTTTGGCTCGATTGTTGCTCAGCTGGGGAGAATCAGCTTTAATCAGTGATTTCACCCAAGCAGCTGTGGGCTGTTTGCTGGGAGACACTCCCAAGGGCTGCTTAGGGCTGCAGCTGGGACAAATCACCTCAATCAGCTCCAATCAGCTCCCCACAAAGCTCTCACTTCGCGGGCTGGGGGGAAGAGTTTGGGTTTTGTGCTCTGAGCTGTACATGGCTCTGGATTCCTGGAGCTGGATGGTGCTTTCTGCTGGTGTTGGAGCAAAGCAGAACAAAATGTGGGT